ATTTCTTAATTACTTGAATATAAAATATAGGGTGTATGGTTCGTTAAATTGGAATGGATTGGTATGGAATCTCATACTAGGATGGTATGCATTCGAAATCCTATACTATAATACTAGTCTAAGGCTGCTTGGTTTATTGTCGGAATGGTTTCCATTGTGAATGTTAGGGGGTGAGGTGGTATGGAACTATGGAATCATAGGGTATGGGGTAAAATTAGAACTCTTTTGGTATAAGATATCACACTAAAAGACTCTATTCAAACAATAAAGTGGATGGAGACTTACTTTATTCCATCTTATTCTAAAAGGTCCAACCAAACAATTGCTAGATTGTTAGGTGTTTTTTTGTATGTAATATATGATCCATACATTTTTTATGAGCCTATCAAACAGTGTGAACGAAAACCAAGTCCTAAATACTCCCTTCGTTGATGCGTGGAGGATTAGGAGAGTAATATAATATTGTGAGTGGGTGAATAATTTATTATAGTAAAAGTAAGATGGGGATCATAAAAGAGAAAGTATGTGAGAGAGAGTGGGGACCATGGGAGAGAGAGAAATGATAAAATAGTTTAAGTGGGGTTTAAATTAAGAGAGAGAAATGATAAAATATGGTATGAAGTTACCAAATATAGAAGTGATGCATTAAAAAAAAACACCCATAAAAGGAAGTGATGCATTTAAAAAAAAATACACGGAGGGAGTACCTTTATTGTAGCTCAATAGTAAGTGTTTCCCACAGCTAGCTCAGCTAATTGGCTGGAGGAAAATAAGTGACATGTAGAATTACGAAATCTTTGCAGAACCTTGACCATGCTTTTTATTAACAGCAGTAACAGATCTTATCTAGTCACTGGAACAAAATTGTTGCCAGATTTTATTTTATTTTATTTATTTTTTATATCCCAAAAATTAGAGAATGTGCTTTTCATCAGGTCAACTGTCAATGCATGAGCTTTAAGTCTTTAATAGGGTTCCGCTTATCTTGGAAACTACGGCTTACCAAAATCTTCTAACGTGTAGTTACTAAACGTTGTATTACACATGTCATTAATGCAAGCTCTGTATATATTTTGTTGAGAAGATTTAATTAGCAACAATGTGCTTATATTTTGTTGAGCCTGGAGGTATTTGTGCGTGTTTTAGTATTGGTGATGACAAAGAAGTGAGTTTGGCGAGCCAGCTGGGGATTAATGTAGGTATGTATATGAGAGTGCCGTTGTAAAAGAAATCGAGGCCAGATAAGGAGTTTATTTTTAACATTGGTATATAATCTTTAAGGTTATAAGCTGATAGATTTGGTAGTAGTGCACTAGTGCTAATTATGGAAAAAAGTATGACTGTATAACGCAATCATAAGGGACAGTTAAAGAATGGAAATTATTATTAGGGATTTTACATACATAAGAACTATGTAGTCTTAAGGGTCGACCTTGCTCACTTTGAGGGACTACTTTTGCTATACTACATTCACTATATCTGGCTGTTATTGTCTTGGTTGTACCTAGTAGTTTTCCAGAGCATTGTTAGTATGATTGACCAACAATAGCAGCAAACTAATCTGTTTTTTTATTTATATATTTATTTTTAATTTTAAAATTATATACAGTGTATATATATATATATATATATATTCTCTATCTGGCACTTAGTAGGTAAAAAACCACGGAATTAAAATCCTTATCTTTCGCCCATAATGGTCAATTCTTTTCGTTTTTTGTTTCCAGGGTAATAGTGAGGTTGTTTTGAAACTGAACCAAGCTTTAGAACCTCAGAAAGAAAATGATGAAGTGTCAAGTCAAGGCACTCAGGTAATGCATCTTGTCTTATACTTCTTCAATTAGCCTCGTTTATGATATACTTATCTGACGTGTTGAGTGGCCTTCTATTGTATATTTATATATTTATTTTATTAACTTTTGAATAGCTGCTCTAATTATTTTAATCTAGTACATGATGTTCCATGCCTCAAATTTTTAGGTTGATTCAAGAAAGTTAAAACCAGGGTGGCTTGAAAAGTTTATCAAGAAGACCTTCTTTGAGCCTTGCTCTGAACATCCTATTCGCCGGAATGAGTTAAACAAGTATTGTATAGACTGTGATACATCTCTCTGCCAATATTGTGTGTCACTAGCTTCCCATTCAGGCCATAGAATTTTGAAGATCTATCGCCATGTTTACAAGGATGTGGTTCCTCTTGATGAGATAGAGAGGCGTATTGATTGTTCAAAAATCCAGGTGATTACTACCTATAAAATTAACTGGGGACTTCTTTTATTTGGTTACCAATTAAATGATACTTGCCCCTGCAGTAGCTACTAGACGATCCAGAAACAACATTTTCTTATTCTCCCTAGCATTACATAAGTACACATTGGAATACATCAGTGTTATCTCATGAGGATGCAGTGAAAATGTTGCGTTTTTGACCATTGGCTCTAACCTTTTCAACGATGTTTCATCAAAGGGAAATTGTAGGAAAAGTCTCTAAATTTGGGGGGTAAATACAAGTTAATCTCTGAGATTCACAAAATTTGGGAGGTTGGTGGAGGGATTAAGGACTTATGTATTTCATGGGAACTTGGGTAGCTAATATATATCTGCGTCTGTGTTTTTTATTTCCTTTAGTCTTCCAGGACAGTTTCTTTGTTCTGTATGTTTGCCAAATGAGAATTGATATGGGTTACAAGGCTAGTAGATTACGAGAAAAATCAAATATTTGCTTTTGATGCTTAATTACCCTCTATATGGTAAGGCCATAAATATGAGGGCTAATTAAATAATTTTTCTTCTAAAATTTACTGTTTCTTAGACCTAATCTTTCTTTGAATGTGTGTTTAGCCATACAGATGCAACCGGCAGTTGGTCGTAGCTTTGACTCCATTGCCACACTCAGGGGCGAAAACAAATGAAGAGGCGGCATGCCAGACATGCAGAAGAAGGTTGATTGAGTATGAATTGTATGATTACTGCTCCATTTCCTGTAAGGTATCATGATTTTTAATTTTTGTAGCCTCATTTTACTAGTGTTTTTGAAAGCAATTGCAAATTTAAATTCAAATGGGTTAAATTCAAGATCCTATATACTTTGTAGTATGGTGTCTAAAAGTTTGCATAATATAGTGTAGGTTGTGTTTGTTTGGTAGGAAGACCTTTTTTTAGGCAATTTAATTTTTTGTGATGGTGGAAAATAGTTTTTGAAAATTTGGAAAAGTTTTTCTTTATTTATTAAAGGATTCAACATCTTCCTTACCATCTCCCATTACTCTTTTGTCCCTTCTCATTTCTACTTATTCTTGCAAGCTATCAAATAAAGGAATATAAAATTTTGAGAACTGAGTTCTTTTGAAAATAAGGTTCAGTTTGAATTGTTTTTTTCTATACCAAATACAACCGCAATGATGGTATGAGGTTTTACTAAAAACATTGTTCAATTTGTTCTTTAATGGTACAAAAAATAATAGCATAACCGATTTAAACAACATCGTTCAATTTATTAGATAATGGTACTTAAAATAATAGCATGACCTTATTGTGCTTGCACACTGCCAATATAGATCATACAGACTGTAACATGCAGCTTGTTATTTGGTTTTCACTCAAAATCAGTGACTATATATAGGACAGTTTTGCAATGGCTACAATAAAATTGTAAAGTGAGTATCAATGGTAATTCTGCCACCCCTTTATTTCCTTCTCTTGTTTTGAAGTTTAGATTATTACAACTGTTATTACTTTGTAGTTTTTTGTTGTTAACCATTTGCATATTATGTCTCCTTAATTTTTTGTTATTTAAAACATATATATGCATCTTAGGTTGGCGCTTTCTTGAAGAAGCAAAATGATCATGATCCTCCATTCCTGTTGCGTGATCAAGTGGAAGAAAAACCGATATCATCAGAACCAGCACCGTCAGTACCAACAGAAAAACTGACCAGGACTCGCAAGAGAAAGGGTACACCTTATCGTGCTCCTCTTTTTTGAGGAATTTCGAGATTGAAAAAGTCTCTACTCCAGTTTAGCTTGTGACCCTGTTTTCAATTAGCAATGCCAGAACATTGTCAAACCAAACCATTATTTTTAAAAAATATTATTTAGGGATGTGGCATCATCCTTTTTTATCTTGCATTTGGTTACGAATGTTGCTGTCTTTAATCCTATGTTTTCCTTTGGAACATGCTTAAAAGGAATATTAGAAGGAAATGATGTTTAAACAATTCTAAATAGTTATCGTCGTTTTGTGTATTCATTTAATGAGAGTCGAGCTCACTGATTCAAGATTACTAGTCATTCGGAGTCTCTCTAAACACATGTATTAAAAATTTGAAATCAAGTAACATAACTCGAAATACAAATTAAAACTAATAATTCGCATACACATGTTCATTTGACAAAAAAATTACAATTTTAGTAACAATTGAGCTCATTGAGTTTTTATAGTTTAATGTTTGAAGGATGAAAATTATTTTGGATATTGGAGTTAGCATCTCATCAAGGACATCAACCATTTAGTAAAAGCAAATAACCCATTACTGTGTTACAGAAGCTAAAACAAAATAAAGCTGTATAGCGGGAAGTGAAACATCATGGGCAACCTTTGGCCACGATTATGCCTTGATGCCTAGTGACCCAATTGACATAACAAAAATAAAGCTCTATAGGAAGAAGTGTGCTTCCACGCACCATGGGCAACCTGATTATGCCTTGGTGTCTAATGACCCATTACCCATTCGACGCCCATATTTGATGAGGGAGACGACCCGTGACATCACGCCTTTTTCTTACCTTCTTTTTCCTCCACATATGCGGATATGCCAATCAAACATACTGTTAAAGAGTTCTCAACAGTTTAAGGTTTTGCCATTATAATGGTACATAACACTATCAGTCTTGCATTGCAATTGATCAAAATTTACATCGGTTTGTTGGGCATGTGTTTGCGGTGAAGTGCTATACTGCCATCATAACTGACGAGTATAGATAAAAAGAAAAGATTAGGATTTCTGTACAAGAATAAACAACAGTGTTCTTGAGTTCAACCGTACATTAACAAGATCATGTAATGCGGAGTTCAGTTCCTCCCTATTTTCTTATGTTACTGAACAGATAATTTGGTGTTTACTATAGAGGTTTCTACTCATCAAAACAAACCCCAAACATTCATTACACCTAAACTTATCCAGTATACAACACTCGTTTGCGAAATTTGAACCCAGTACAAGCTGCAGGTGCCTCACCAGAACTTCATCACTTCACACTTTGGCTGATACGCCATGATATATTTTTTCATATGAATCTTTCTCAAGGAGATACAAAACGATCTTTGAAAAAGCTATCACAAGAAGAATATTTAGTATAAAAATACGCTATATCAAAGAATGAAAAATGATCCCTAAATCCCTAATATGAATGGTGTATAAATACTTCTAATCATAAGCATCATGATAGTCGCCACAAGAAAATTGGCTCAAACTTCAAACAGTATCGTGGATGAACTGGTATCTTCAAACTTCAAAGAGATCTGGTTAAAGGCAGTGACAAAAAAAAGTCCAAAAATCTACCTGTATGCTAGTTAGATTTTCTCTGGCGCATAGCTACCGGACTCATGCTTCTTTGCAACCAACTTTAAATTTGGCTATAAAAAACCCAATTGTGTCAGATGTAGAAGGATCAAACCTCTGCACAAGTTCCTCTTCCCCAGGCTTTAGCCATTCCTCAACATATCCATCAGACAACTCACAGTGACCAAGCAGGCCCGGCCCACCAACTCTTGGATGCTGGGGTGCTAATGACAGAAACGAATATTTATCAAGAGCATAACGCACCAGAGCTTCATTTTCACCAGGGTTTATTGTACAAGTTGAATATACAAGAACTCCTCCAGGTCGAACTAGTTGCACAGCTTGATCAAGCATCTTCCTCTGGTATTTCTTATGACTCTTCAAAGATTCTAAGGTTTCCTCACCAGCAAACAACCGAGGTCTCAATCCAAGAGCAGAGCAAGGAGCATCAAGCAGAACTCTATCAAAACTGTTAGGAGCAAATCCTTTTGATTTTTCAACTCTACCACCATTGACGTGATTCTTTCCAATCCCATTTTTGGTTCTTTGTTTATCCTTCCCGCATACAGACATGATATTGGGTACTTGTCCATTTCCATCTCCATTGACTCTGTTTTCCCTGTGAAACAAATTACCATTCATCTTTTCCTTAGCAATGCAACAAGACTTCGAATTTGTATCTTCAGTCTTGCCAGAAACTTTTTCTGTAGCAAGAGCATCTGTAGCAACAGACTTCAGAGCATCAAGCTTGTACGTTACTATAGACTTCAAGCCCATTTCATCAGCCAGATTTTGAACATCCATTACCTTATTGTGTGATCGATCTGCAGCAACGACCTCTCCTTCATCTCTCATAAGCATAGCTATAGCAGTTGTTTTACCCCCTGGAGCTGCGCACATGTCCAATATCCTTTCACCCTTTTGAGGATCTAAGGCATGAGCAGCAATAATGCTAGGAAGGTTCTGGAGAAAGATCTCACCCTCAAGCACATTGTTAAAAGAAGGAAGATCAAAAATCCTATTACTCATAGAAATAGCAATACCTTGCAACACTCGGAAAATTCCGGCCCTAGACATCATTGCAGTTCCTCTTCCAATATACAGGCCTTTCCGCTGACAATATTGGGGATCTGTCTCAGAGCCCTGAAGTACAATCCCACGTGTTATTCCAGTACCTCCCCATTTACCATCAGGTTCAGGTTGTTCGATAGCAACAGAAACAGCAACAGAATCTCCCTTTTCAACATGAGCACTACACGCCAAAACACCAGGGACATAAACCTGAGCACCCCGAAGAACAGCCTCAGCACATTTGCGGCTTACAATAACCTCCTTTACAGGCTGTTCAATTACATCAGCATATTCAATTTTATGAGGTCCCGTGCCTTGAACAAAGACAACATAGTCTAGCCCAGGTATAGGGCACTTGTGTATGAGATCATTGTCTATGTCTCTGCCATCTGTTCCATGTTGCATACTCAACAGCTTTTCGATGACAGCATCACTAGTTGTCTTCATTACATTAACACGTAGGCAAGAGTAGCAAGAAGGACGCGTGAGAGCTTTAGAGATACGATCAAAATGGTCAGCACCATATGCCTTAATGAAGTATTCTTCAACCTGAGGATTCCAATTAAGAGTTGGGTTATAGCAATAACGCTCTGAGGAATCCATCTGAGGAAAGGATTTTGTCTTTAGTGTGGAGCAGCCTTTCTGAAGCTGTTGTAGGTGCCTGACAAGTGAATCAAGCTTAATTTAGTTTTCCTGTACAGAGATACTTTAGCTAATTAGAATAAAATAGTACATGACAACGAGAAATAACAAATGCCTGTACACTCAAGCATTCATTCAACAGAACACTCTTAAAAATGAATTACACTAATACAAAAGACAGAAGTAACAAAAATTTAGAAATCCAGAATTACTCACTACCTTTTTCTGGAAAAAGGTAAATGTGATGGGATCAAAATAGATTTAAGTTCTTTTTTATACTTGGCCTCCAAATAAGCACATAGAAGATTTGAAGTTATGCAATGTTAAAAAAATTACTGAGATTCATGATTCTCATACCAAGTATTTCCAACAAATCTAAACCCACATCAATAGTGTGATTCGTGCATTGTACACGCCTCAATCATAAGGAAGCTTCGTTTTTTTATTTCTCTCTTCCGACCAGAACCACAATGTCAGGTAAAACTTTAACCTAGCAACAGGCCTAAAAGCTTGAAATTGCCTCTGAAATTTCCTTAAAACCTCAGAAGTTAGCAGTCTCTCGAATCAAGTACTATGTGAAATCAATTTTCAAATTTAGTAATTCTTTGACAGTGAAAATCGAATGCATCCTCTCATTTCTTAACAAGAACATATCAAACCAAGCAGTCCAGCGTCCAAAATCACATCAATATCAACCAAATCATTATCCAATCATATAGTCAGAACTGCAAGTACAAGTTGTGATTTTGACAGCATTTTTTGTTCCAAGTTGCAAAATTACCCATCAAACTATACATGCTTCAAAACATTTGAGCACTAGGAAATACAAAGAACCACCTAATCAAAATTGGGGTTTTCCAAATCACTTCCAAAATGCAAAAATGAACAACTACCCACAAAATAATTTACCATTATGTCAACATCTTCATCCAATTCTAGTAATTTTTCCAGAAAAATCAGAAGCTAATTAACCAAACCCAGAAAGACTAACACACCAAATTAACCACTCATCAAAAGAAGCCTCCAAAAACAAATTACAGCATACATTTGAACAAAACTCAAAATACCCAGAAGATCAAACAACATAATTAAAGAATCAACCAAAATATAAATGTAATGCTAGAACAGAAGAAGAAAACAGAGAGTATTTATTTAAAAATGGTGTATAACCTGGAAAATGAAGCTAGGGTTCTTCGCAAATGAGCTGCAATAGTACGTATCCGCATACCATAGATATTGATTTTGATTTTCTGTTGGGAGTCACACTTCTGTTGTAGAAGCGGCGGAACTTCAACCTTTAACGAACGAGGTTTTTTTTTTTTTTTTTTTTTTTTTTTCTTTTTTTTTCCACTGAGTTTTTAAGGTTTATATTCCCTTGTCCCTAATTTTCACTTCAGCTTAATTTCAGTTTAGTTCATTTCAGTTCTAATCAGTTCAGTTTAGCTTTAATCAGTTCAATTTAGTTCAGCTCTAATCAACTCCTAATTTCCTTCTCTCATAAAATATTTATTTCAGCTCCAATCAGTTCAGTTCGGTTTAGCTCAGTTCAGTAAATGTGAACTGACCCTTAATTAGTACGGAGCGATTTTATTTTCATTTTTGTGTAAGTATTAATAAAACTTACAATGAATGCAATAAGATCTCATATAATTATACTATATCTTACTCTGTATAGATTAAGATTATTATTTTACCGTTAAATATTTTAAAGTTTGATCCAAATTATTACAATAGAGTTAACGATGTTAGTGATGATTAAGGGTATTTGGTGACATTTTCATGAAAGTTACTGGTATATGGTGGATTCAAAAATTCTGATGAGTATTTGGTGAAGTAAGTGATAACTTAGGGATTTTTCGTGAACAAACCGTTAATTTAATCATCGAAATTAAATAAGCAAAAATACCTTGAGTACACCTCAGTGTATATAATAACCCTTAGATATAATAGCAAAGTTTTGCCCTTTTTATGGTTTATTATACCTAAGTTTTGACTTGAGGACAAGTTCAACTAAACTTTTTTAATGTAGCTTGACTTACAGAGTAATATATATAAATTGCGTACCAAAAAATAGTTCGTTCTAAGAATAACACCATTGTATTATTAGTTTTGAAGCTCATGTTGGCTGCACAAAAGATATAAAACAACCACGCATGCTTTAATAGAAGTTTGTTTGGTTTAACATCATCTATACAATTTATATCAGTGTATGAATTATGAAGTACACTAATTGGAACAAACTTCATTAAGCCAAAGATTAATCTAGGCGATTTGAATACCAAGATTAATTAGAAGATCATCCGAATGCTGTACAAAAACATTTACCTAGATAAAAGGATTTGAAATTCCTTGGAGTGACACATACACTCCTTTAGGACGAGTACTAGGGAGTTCTATTAGAGGTTCATCTGAATTTAGCAAAATCATTACCACTTTTCGCATTTTCGGTCTCAAGTTCGATTCCAAATGCAAGCACGCAAGTGCCACACTTAAAATCTTGACAACTTCATCCTTGTTAAACTCCCCATTTAGCTTAGGGTCTACACACTCTACCAACTTACCCTTTGTATGCATATCCCATGCAAAGTCTACTAAGCAATTTTCCCCTATGAGGTTGTTAAATCGCTTTCCAGACACAACCTCTAACGCCACCACTCCAAAGCTATACACATCCGACTCAGTTGTTGCCTTGCCAGTGTAGATCAACTCCGGGGCCATGTACCCCAGGGTTCCAGCAAGTATTGTAGTGACTCCCGCGGTGTTCTTAAGCAGTCTAGCTAGCCCAAAATCACCAAGATGGGGGTTGAAGTCGGAATCTAACATGACATTGCTAGGCTTCACGTCTCTATGCACTACCGGATCACCACATTCTTCATGTAGGTACAACAATGCTGAGGCCAACCCGGTAAGTATTTTACACCGCGTTTTCCAATCAAGGAAACTTTGCCCTGTAAGTAACTCATTGAGGCTCTTATTCGCCATGAAGTCGTATACAAGAAGAAGGTGGTTGTTCTCATGACTCCAACCTTGGAGTTGCAATATATTTCTGTGTCTTAAACGTCCAATGGTACATATTTCAGCCAAATACTCCCTCTCACCTGTTAAATTAAAGTATTCCATCACTAAATAGTTGTTACATTTGACTTTTAAAAGCCAAATTTATAAACTTTTGATCATAATAGTATATTAAATATTTAAAATTCATATCAATATATAAATACCCTATGTTTAAAGATAGTGATATGGTTAAAGGTGTATTTTGAGGACCATGCAATAAAGTCAAATAATAATTAAAAACTAATTTTAGGCAAAAGGAAAAGCATATATTCATTGGCAATATCAATACTAAATTTCAACTAAGAATAGATTACTAGAATTTCAACTAGCGTTAAATTAGATTAAATTGTGTACTATTGGACCAAACATTATAGCTCAATAGGTTGGTGCTAAATTTTATTCTATATGTTCTATTTATATTTTTAAGTGTAAAATTGGTGATGTGGTGCTACTTGATGGAGTATCTCAATAAAAAATTCCTCGGATTGCATTACTAACAAGGAATAACGTGCTATGTGGTGTTAGTGAATTATTATGGATGCAAGACAAATTTTGAAATTTATAGTAGTAATAAAAAAATAAAAAAATAAAAAAATAAAAAATTGAGGTTAAAAAGAGTTAATTACCTTGCTCAGAGGTGGCTGAAATCTTCTTAACAGCAATAGTATGAGGAGGATCAACAAAATGTCCTTCATAAACACTTCCAAAACCACCACTTCCTAACAAGTTATCCTGGCTGAAATTCTTAGTAGCTTTAGCAAGCTGCTTGTAAGTAAACATCCTAGGAGCCGAGCCGGTGGCAGCGTACTGCCTCTCAAGCTCGTCCATTCTCCTAATCATCTCCCTCTTGTCAATAATTCGACGTCGAATCACAGGAATTGCAAGCACTGACATGAGGACTAACCCGACTAAAACCGGTAAAACACTTGCCAAAGTAATGATGCATAACTTCTTGTTATCTCTCAAAGTGTTGCTTGGCAATTTTGTGGAAGTGAACACCCAATCATGTAATTGGTGAGTCTCACTAAGAAGCCCAGTTGATGCTGTAAAACCTATGTATACATTTTTTGAGACATATTTTGAGACTTTTATTGAGTGGTTTAGGACACTTTCTAATGGGTTACCTTGATAACCTACATAAATTTGAAACTCTTTTTTGTGTCCATTGTATTCTATCTTGACATTGATTTGTTTTCCGCTCTTAAGATAAATGTTGGATGAATTTAGGGTCTGTGCTGTTAGAGATTTCATTGCACTTAATGAATCGATCCCAATGTGATTGTCGTCTGGATCCCATTCGTTCTTGAATGTGTCAAACTCGATTGCTAGCTGTTTGAAATCGGTGTTGCCTGAATAAATCGTTAGAAATATACATTAAAACGAATCTAATAAAATCTCGCTGTATTACTTGTTTTCATTAATTAATATACATGGACTTACAAAATGTGACTAATATAACAAACCCCCCCCCCCCCCCCCCCCCAAACTCCAAAAAAAACAGAGTACTAAGGTGACCTTGATTGAAGGTTGTAATAAGCATGTTTTTCTTTATACACCAATAAGCCTTTTTTTTATTTTTATTTTTTAAATATATATAATTATATATATATTTTTTAAATGCACTAATTATTGAGTCACTGTCCACTGATGTTCTATAATTGTAATTGAATGGTTTTAAACCATGGAAAATATACTTTACTGAAATGATTAAAAGGACAGCCTATCAAATAAGAATTGAAGTTGAAAACCACATACTCCGTACATCTCTTTTTGTTCTTCGCACAGTCTCTTAAGAGAATTAAAAAAAAGTCATTTTATATTATGATGAACAACAAATAGAGACGGAGGAAGTACATACTAATTAACATTGACGAAGTCAAATCTAGGATTAATTAAAGTGGGAAACTCAATAATATGTTAAACAAAAATAATTAAATTGAGGGGGGGGGGGGATTTACCTTGTTGTAATGGATCCTGAAGACCAAGATAAGAGCCAGCGCTAATATTTGAAGGAGATTTATCATGTTGAGCCAAAATAAAAGTCATACCATCACCAGAATAATTCAAGGGATTAAAACGAGGGAAAATTATAAAGGAGAAACTTGTACAAAATGAAGCTGGCCATATTTGTACAGGTTTATGGTACAATACTCTAGCAAATGACATGTAACCCGATGCGGACAAGTTATTCGACGACGCGGCCGTGGTTAAATTCACGAACCCTCCTCCTGGGGTGGCTGCTCCCATGCACAATAGGCCACCCCCTGGTTTGCAGCTTGAAGTGTTGAAGGATGGAAAGGAGAATGTTACATGATTACTTTTATCAATATCACATGAAGATGAAGTGACTAATAATGAATGTTGTTGTTGTAAGAGGAATAATATTATTGTTGAAATTTGAAGAATGTGTTGAATTTTTGTAGATTTTTGCATTTTTGTTTAGATGTTTGATTGTTTTGGGAGATAGATGAGAATTGTTGAAATTGAGATGGTTGTACTATTAGATCATGAACCTTTGTCTTAAGGGTATGATGTGTTGGTAATAATAATGCAAAAAGGGTATGTAGTGCGACAAAAAATACAAGTGTTTTTCATTTCTTAAACATCTAATATATAAAGACAATAACTATACCATGTGAAATAAAGGAGAATGATGAAACTATTATTCGTGAATAATTTAAAGTGATCCCGCTAGAGTATTAAAAAACTGACTATTGACCACTAATGATCAAATTTCAAGTGCACTAGTCCAATAAATAAGAAAGTCCCTATAAAGTTAGTTAGTTTGTTTGGGTTTGGACTACACGCGTCCCTAAGAGATTAAGTCCGCATGCTTCATTAAGAGAGAAAATTCACTTCACCAGCTCACTCATATAACAAATTGGTGAAAGGAGATTAGGAGAAGTAGCTCATTGGTAGCCTTATATGCATTTTTAGGAAGATTAGAACAAAATTATATTACTCCGTATTATCTATGGTATAGCTCAATTGTTTTTGGCTCAGTGCTTATTACTAAATTCGATAGTATACTTAATTAAGGGCCTCCTATGATCTTATGTTGTTTCGTTTAATAAGATATGGTTTTCTGGTGTTGACTAGATCATTTTATTTGGACTCAAAATCAGTTCTGATCCTAGGCTTTGATGCTTCAATTTATATACTCATATTACAACCATACAATTATATAGTTTGATTTATATGATCGGTCAAGTTCAATGAAGTCCATACATTGAGGTATTTCATGTATGAACTAAACTAATAATCAACTATTGTTATGACTTGATTTTTAATTGTCTTGATTTATATAACAATTTTTTTTTTGTTTTTTTTTTTGACGGGATATAACAGGTTAAGTTTAATATTGTCCATCATGATATTTAATACGGACTATATTAAAAAAATCAAATATCGTTATGACTTGATTTTATGTCGTAACAAAATTAATCAACCTAGTTTACAGTTATTTTAATTTTTCACAAATAAGAATCTACTGTATTTTATATATTATTCGATCCTATAAAAAGACAGGTGTTTTAATTAAGTACAAAATTTGATCATTGTTATATATTTTATAAAAATTACTATTTGAAAACATTCTAGAAATATGCTTATTTGCTTAAGAATTAAAAGGTAATGTCTATGAGGTCCATATTAACTTAACCAGAGGATTAAAGTCGTAATATTTCTTTATTAATCGTGTAAAAGACGCTAGGGACGACACAAGTTGACTATAAATTCACTAATAATAAGAATCAATATCTTTGTTCGACCTCCAATATAAAAAATGTAGACATTTTTTATGATGTTAGTTGGAGAATATGTTATAGTATTTGTTTAAGTAAATGGATTGGATCCATTATGATGTCGCACACTTACTTTTTGAATATAAGATGACAGAGAATCTCTAGTAAGTTATGAATGACAGAGTGATATTATACCTTATGTTTATTTAATAAGTGATACAGAATATGTGTTAAAAAATTTGGACATATATTGTGACAAAGTTGAGACATACAATGTAAAGGCATTATTTAATGTACACATTGAAGAAGACATAAAATTAAGTTCAAATATATATGGATCATATACCATATATTGAGTTTTTACATATCCTACAATTTGTAATAAGTCATGTATTTCATGTGTTACTTTTTTCAGTTGGTTGATCTAAAGTTATACCGTGATTTTATCATGCATTCATAACTTAATACTATTATAAGTAATAAATTACAAAGTAATTAGTTTCAATATTTCATATATAATATCATTTTCTACAAAAAAAAAAAAAAAATCAGCTCAGATGGGAGGTATAATAATGTGTGTTGGGATGAGGGGCGGCTAGAGAAAAGTTTATTTATTAATACGTTCTACGTAGTTACATGATGATGCATTGATTTTGGACATAACTTTAAGAGAGTAGTGATCACTGACCATGACAAAATTTCTCCAAGGCCGCCATGGGAACAGGGAGGTTACAATACATGGTGAAATGGAAAATCAAGAAAACTTTAGTCGTAGTAATTTGATATTGCATTAAAAATATGGTATAATTGCGGATAAGAATTTAAGCATATGTGATATGTCCCCATTAGGGCCATATATATTATCATTAACATCATCCGTTTTCTTGTTTGTTGTAATGTAAGTTTTGATTTTTGAAGTACTTAATTACTTCATAGAACTATCCATTATTCATTGAATTCAACACTCAGATTTTCTTTTAATTAAATTTAATTTTTTTGATATTTTGTTTTCAAAATTAAAGAGAATAATATAAAATCTTAAGTATCTTTAAAGTAAGGTAGTTCAGACATAGGCCCGCTGTAGGAATAGGGAAGGTTTACTAGCTATGCATAAGGTGAAAAAGAAAACAAGGAAGAAAATTTTGAGTGCCTCAATATTAAATAAGCATATTGCATTAAAAAAATGGTAGAATTGCATATGTTTTTTTTTTTTTTTGGTGTTTAGAGAGCCACAGGGGCAAGGGTGAGAATCGATCTCTTGGAATCGGGAAGGATCCTCTAACCATTTGAGCTACCTTTCACTCTCATAAGAATTGCATATGTGCCTCCATTAAGTCATTATGGTGCTTGAAATCAAGGGGGGGGGGGATTATAAAACATCATCTATTTACCAATAATGAGACTATACATGTGATCTAAGCGTATAGTGGCGAGACTGATGAGGTCATGCCTAGAACAAAAACATCATCTAGTAATTATTTTTTCCATTTTTACACTTGTTGTTTGAATATGTATGAATATCTACAATATTACTAGGAAAAATTCAAACTTTGTTGTACACCAATATAGCTTCTTTAGCTATAAAACTACATAGATACATAGATCAACAATAACACTTTCTACCGTGCCAAAGATTCATGTTGCAAGCTTGTATTGGTGCTAGATGAAGGGTAATCAGGCCATGAGAATAAAGGTGTACTAGGCTTAGAATTACTCGTACTAGGTGGATTTGAAAATCCTGACAATGAGAGATATACGCCCTTAGGACGAGTGGAAGGGAGTTTCATAAGAGGTTCATTTGAATTTAACAAAACCATTACCACTTCTCTCATTTTAGGTCTCAAGTTCGACTCCAATTGCAAACACGCAAGTGCCAAACATAAAATCCTTTCGGCTTTATCCTTGAAAAAATCTTCACCAAGTTTAGGATCCACACACTCTACCAATGTACCCTTGCATACATATCCCACGCATAGTCCACCAAGCAACTTTCCCCTAGAAAGTTACTAAACCTCTTTCCACACACCACCTCCAACACCACCACCCCAAAGCTATACACATCCGACTCAGTTGTTGCCTTCCCGGTGTAGCTCACCTCAGGAGCCATGTACCCTAGGGTGCCCGCCACCATTGTGGTGACCCCCGTTGTGTTCTTTAGCAATCTAGCAAGCCCAAAATCACCAAGACGCGGGTTGAACTCTGCATCTAGCATGACATTACTAGGCTTCACATCTCTATGCACCACTGGATCACCACATTCTTCATGAAGGTACAACAATGCTGATGCTAAGCCGGTTATTACCTTTTCCCTCGTCTTCCAATCTAAGAATTTTTGGCCTGAAAGGAATTCATTTAGGCTCTTATTAGCCATGAATTCATATACAAGAAGAAGACTGTCTTTTTCATGACTCCACCCCTGAAGCTGCAATATGTTCCTATGCCTTAACCGCCCAATTGTACATATTTCTGCTATATATTCGCGCTCACCTAGCAAAACAACCAAACAAAAAAAATAAAGGTCTTAGTCTAAATGTATGATGTGCTATTAAAACATGATGAAATACAAGATAGTTTGACATTAATTTACCCTGCTGAGAGGTAGATGAGATCTTCTTGACAGCAATAGTCTGAACAGGATTCGCGATAACCCCTTTATAAACACTCCCAAAACCACCAGTCCCTAACAAATTATCCTTGTTAAAATTCTTAGTAGCCTTAGCAAGTTGCCTGTAAGTAAACATCCTAGGAGCCGCGGCAGCAGCAGCAGCATACTGCCTCTCAAGCTCTTCCATCCTCTTAATCCTCTGCATCTTCCTAACCATTCTACGTCGAATGACAGGTACTGCAATCACTGCTGAGAGGACTAAAATTGGTATAACAGTTGACAAAATAATGATGCATAATTTCTTGTTATCTTTCAAAGTGTTGTCTGATAATATTGTGGAAGTGAACACCCAATCATGAAGTTGGTGAGTCTCAGTGAGAAGTCCAGTTGATGCTGTAAAACCGATGTAAACATTTCTTGGGATTATTTCTGATACTTTTATTGGAAATTTTAGGACACTTGTTAATGGTTTTCCTTGATAACCCATATAGATTTGAAGCTGTTTTTTGTGTCCATTATACTCTATCTTGACTTTGATTTTGTTACCACTCTTTAGGTCAACGGAAGATGACTTTGCAATCAAAGAATGCACGCTTAACGTATCAATCGCTATGTGATTACCATCAGGATCCCACTCGTTCTTGAATGTGTCAAACTCGACAGCTAGTTGTTTGAAGTCTGAGTTTCCTAAAGCAATCGTTGAAAAATACACATTAATACGAATCTGCTGACTATTACCAAGAAAACATAATGTACAAAAAAAAGAAAAAAACAGAGATGAAATAAATTGACAAGTTATTTTCAATCAAAGTAATTTAACTTATTTTATAGGAAAAAACATTCATAACCCGTATAATATATTGTTTGCAACTTTTAGTTATTTTTTGTGAGATATAAAAAATTCAAAAGTTACCCATAATATGTAACGGAGGTAATATTAAAACAGTTCAAATAAAACAAATTTATTGTACAAAAAAAGTATGTAGGAATTTAATTATAACCTTGTGATGAATCCTGAAGACCAAGATAAGAGCCAACGCTAATATTTGGGGGAGACTTATTATCTTGGGCCATAACAAATGTCATACCATCACCAGAATAATTCAATTGGTTAAGTTTAGAATAAATTCTAAAAGAGAAGCTTGTACAAAATGAAGCTGGCCATACTTGTACAGGCTTATGGTACAATACTCTAGCGACTCTCATATAATCCAAGGCCGACGAGGTATTCGACGCGGCCTTGGTTAAGTTCAAGAACCCCTCGCCGGGGTAGACGGCTCCCATGCACAAAATGTCACCCCCTAGTTTACAACTTGATGCATTGAAGGTTGGAAAGGATAATATAACGTTGCCATCAC